GCAACGAGCTGCAAGCGGTAATATCGTGCTCAGACTAACACTCAGACGCCTGACAACAGAAGATTGGTAATATCCAGCGTGAATTGTTTCAAAGGCGATATTCCGTGTTGCAGCGTCAAGACGTGGCGTAGTGATTTGAAAATCCAGTGATCAACTGCATCTATCTGCGCAACTTGGAACCGATGACATGTGTCAACCAAGTCAGTGAGCCTGACCACCAGATCCCGTTAATCGCCTCTCTCGACAAGCAAGGGTTACTAAAGATCAATATTCTAACCCGAACCTTCCCGGGTAGACTGAACGTTAGTGATGACCCCAGTCACATTATTACATTACGTTTTATACTTAGAATTGCAAGTCGAGTTTTTTCTCCTTGTGACATGCAAACGAGAATAATTTGTGAAAAGGAATGAATACAAACGTAAGGAAGCACATGGAATTGACTCTGGTCATTGTGTACATCACTTATTCCAAGTCAGGAACGTAGTCGTGCCTTCTCTTTTTCAGGCGTTACTCCTGTTCGGACCCACCTCAACTGAGGCGGCAATAAAATTTGGATATCATCTGTCTACCATCACAAAATTGGTCGCAGTGAATCAACAGACAAACAGTGTTACAAAGAGTTTAGCAGTTCAGTCGACAGAATTCATGATTTTCTGAGGGTTGTTTGGATGGTTTCTTGTCTAACGCTGCACTCAGCAACATTCCAGCTATATGGCAGCGGTCTGTAAATAATCGGATCTGGACCAGACAATCCAGTGATCAAGATCATGAGCATCGTTCTACGCAAAGGGGATACAATGACATGTGTGAACTAAGTAAGCAAGCCTGACCACCCGATCCTGTTAGTCGCCTCTTTCGACAAGCATGGGTTACAGACGACCAGTTCTAACTCGGACCTTCACGTGTGTTGCCTAAGGGAAGTGGTGCCACGTACTGATTCAACGTCACTGCAAACTATATATCCAGTGTGGGGCGGTGGGGTGGCCTAGTGGTTAATTCCCCACATGGGTACTATGTGTGAAGCCCATTTCTGGTGTTCCCCGTCGTGATATTGCTGGAACATTGCTAAAAGCGGTGTAAAACCATACTCACTCACTGACTGATTCATATATCCAATGAGCCCAAGAGCATCTGAGCTTTCGACGACAAGAGTGACAAGACTGCAGCTTAAAAAAACATTTGGTTAAACGTTGTGTTCATATTTTATACAGGTATGCATATGGGGTTGGGGTTTATAGAGATTTTAACAATATTCCAGCAATATCACGCCGGGAAACACCTTAAATGGACTTCTCATCCTGTACCCATGTAGGGAATCAAACCTCGGCATTCTATGAACCCTTTCAGCACTAGGCTACCCTACTGTCCCTGCAGGAATTCATGACGAGGCGGAATAGGGGACGCTAAAGTTAATAAGTTGTAACCACCAATTTGACATTCTGGACTGTCAGATAAGACCTAATTACTTCATAATGTCCCGTAATTGAGATGAGGGGTGTATCTGTTCCTTTCAATATATATGAGTATGAGTATTATACGATCGCTTCGTGTGATCCAATACAGGATTACCTCCCTTTGTCCATGTAACGAATCAGGTTTTGGTGTTCGTGAACATTTGCCCAATGAGAGACAAACAGATATAACATTAAATCAAAGAGATGAAAGGGTCACTATGGGGCATAGTTTACTTGTCTGCGTGCACTGTGTAATATCATGGTATCTCAATAGAGCTGGTCGATTCTCATGATGTCGATCACTGATTTAAACTCAATTATTGTATCATTTGGATTCAATATTCAGTGGTGTGATAATGAAAGAATGAAGATACATTTCACATTTTAGTGTGCTTGTTTTTAAAGTATCTGTTACATTAACTTTGCATTGCTAATAAGGATAGATACAAAACCTATCATAATTGTGAGTTGTCAGGTGCATGTGCAGAAAATTCGACAAATAAAGGGAGAGAACTCGCGTATCGTGGTTTAATACATGGTAAACATGTGCAACAATCGAATTTGTAAACATTATGAAACCCCACTAATAACAATACGAAAGGCTGTATTAAACACCAGTTATCATTAATGATGAACAGTTAATGAAATTTGTAAGTTAGAAAGTGAGATATTCGCAGATTATCACATTTTGGAGTGAGCACACCCTATCACCGAACAGTTTGACTCTTTTGAGTGGCACAAAGTTCTTCAAACCTCACCAATACATGTACCTGTTTTATGTTTTGGATTTACGTTAATTGATATGCTCATTTTACGAGGCATTATATTTGGAGTGTTACTAAGTGAGTGTGTTCATCATTGCGGGAAGTAGGCCATAGAACCATCACCAGGAGCAGGATCTGCTACCGGAGATTATTCTGAGACTGCAGTTTGTAATCACCTTCTCGTCAAGTGAATGTGAACAAGGTTGTGTCCATTCCCTATGGAGACAAAATGTATTTTGTAAACGGGACACTTTTACACACATAAAATGAAGCTCTGCTATGACGAAATATGTCAATTTTGTTCACTGAAACTGGACCGAGTGAGTGTTGAGTAGTACGTGGAGGAGGATCTAGAACCATCACTAGGACCAGGACTTTGCTCGTATCAGGACTGTGCAGGGTGTGACCAGATATTATTGTGTTAATGCTCTAGATGTTAGTCTTTGATAAATAATATTCCAGATACATTAGTAAACGGGTAGGATGTACGTACTCACTACTCAAATCTCGACAAAGCAATCTAGCGGAAGGTACAATGAGCAATGATTCATAATGTAGGGATACAATGACACACCATCAACTCATTTAATCCTTTTACTCATACGACCAGAAACTATTGAAACCCTATTCTGACATGGGGTGATACATTGAGTGTTGTAGCACTTATGGAAGTACAGTTAATAGTAAACGAGATGTCAAACTTTCAAAAACCAAAACATATCTGCATACAGTTTCTCAACCTATCGGAAAGATATTGTTCCACATGCATGGACACTAAATGAGACATATTGTTTTACGGGTAAAACAGGATAATCTATCTTTTTACACTTGTTCTACTTAATAGTGAGTGAGAGAGTTTTGTTTTGTGCAATATTCCAGCAATATCACGGTAGGGGACACCAGAAATTGGCATCACAAATTGTGCCCAAATGGGGAATCGAACCTGGGTCTTTAGCGTGACGAGCGAACCACAAGGCTGTCCAGCCGCCCCTCTACTTTATAGTACATAGGACGGGCATATATTGTTCTTCACAATGAACACTTCCATAGTTAAAGGGACAGAGCGAACGATCGATGTATCACATGCTTTGTATATTTATCATCTACGTTTAAAAGAACATTCAACTATAAATATAAGATTTGTCCAAGATGTGCAAGTGTATTTGACGTGATCCATGTACAAACAGGGAGTGTCTTTAGGCAACGGTTAGACTGATTGAAGTGTCGTAAAATTACGATGATAATACCAAATCCTGGAAAGCCCCTTAAAAGTGAGTAACAGTTAAGTGATCATGTTCGAGATATGACTAATGTACCAACAGATATATTTGAAATAAACAACAACAAAGAACGTTGGGAGCTAAACTGAAATGTATATGCCTAATGAACTGAAGCGTCAGTAAAAGTGCTGCTGACCGCGTCCTCTGACTATGGTGGTTGAGAAGGGCTCTGACAGATGTATACATTGCACACTGCAATGATTCTTGACAGCTGAATTGCGAGAGTGAATTTTGTTAGAACAGCTTTGGTGAGGATTTCAGCTGCATCACCAGGGATCAGTTTAATGTGTGATTATATCCCGATGTTCGACGTTCAAACGTTCAGATGTTCAGACCACGAGGTGACGGTGACGACAAACTTTGAATGACTTACAGTGAGAAAGTTAGCGATAGCTGAACATGTGTTGCTAAAATACTAGCCTACCGATACTGTCGGTTTTTAAATGTCCAACAAATGGTGTATATGGTGAAAATGTTTCTACGGAACGAAGTATGAAACCCGTGATCAGGGTTAGAGTTGGTCTTCAGCAACCCATGCTTGTCGTGGGAGGCAACTAACGGGATTGGGTGTACAGGCTTGCTGACATGGTTGACACATGACATCGTTTCCCAGTTGTGTAGATCGATGCTCATGCTATTGATCACTGGATTGGCTGGTCAGGTCTCGATTATTTAAGACTGCCGCCACATAGCTGGATTATTGCTGAGTGCGGCGTCAAACAACAACCAACCCCATCCCAACCCCACCCCAAAAAACAACAACAAAAAAAACCCCCAAAAAACAAAACGAAAAAACAACAACAACAAAAAAACAACAACAAACAAACAAACACAAACTAAACCAAAAAACACCCCAAAAACAAAACAAAAAAAGCCCCATCACAACAACAACGAAATATGAATGCATCGATCACAAATATTTAACAGATATTTTGTAAAATGTATAATCAGGCAGCAAATTTGAAATTTATTTTTCACCCAGTCTACTATCTAAGGAAAACTGATGTGTATGAAAGAGTAAAGATTCGCATAAGCATGGATAATATGGCTTTAATGAAATTGTGTTCTACATGTTTTGCTGTACTTTGTCTCGCCCTTTGTTATTTTGAGCTGGTCGCCAGCGACCTATGCATGTATGTCGAACGTTTGTTGCAAGGTTTGTTCTATGTATATCGTGTCATCGTATCCTGTCGACGTGACACGATGCTCATAACATCATTCCCCTGTCCAGCCTTCTTAAATGTAGTAGGTGTCGCCGTCATTCTGCTTCAAACTTCTGACGGTTGTCGTCACGATATGGCTGAAATATTGCCGATGTGACGTTAAATATTTACTCACTCACTCACTCTGGCGGTTGCGTTAATATTAATTTGTATATAACATTTATATTAATTTCTCATCGCTGTATGGTAGACACACTGAATATGATACGAGTAATGGTCACTTACTTTCAATAGGCGACTGCTAAAACGTCATTAAATATACTCAAAGACAGTAAAAACATTGCAGGTGATGTTTATTCACATTTACAATATCAGGGAATAATATATCATAATATATCTTCAGATTATTTCAGACTTGAATTGTTTGTCACTGTAAGTAAAAAGTAGATAACATTTACTCTGTGTCAGTGGTCACTGGGTGAGAGAACCACGTCATCAGTAACATGTTATCAGCGGTCGAAAACATACAGGGGAATTTTTTTCTTTTTACCTATAGCGAGATGATATCAACCAGTATCAATTACTGACAGTCATTGATCAAACAGGCATCAATATTTGTGATAATAATACACACGAAATGACAACTACAAACTAATACAGAAACACCGAAAATATCATTAACTAAACACCTCTAATCATAGTAGAATTTCCATTCTTTAGTATATAGATATTTCTACGAATAACTTGGTGAAGCTATAATTTGGTGAAGATATCATCTTAATTACCAAAAAAAATGGAAATTGTCTTATCTCTTATTCATTACAAATTTATGCTAAATATGGATTTCAAACTAAAATCGAACGCGTCACAAGATCAAGAAGAAAGAGAAAACAGTCATCCCCAATAGGTATGCGGAAATCTTCATCGTCCCTCCACCTGCAAGAGAGAAAGCGTGTGGACTGATGATAAAATTCTAATGTGGTGGGGCGTGGAATTTGTACAAAGGGACAATACCTTTTTTCACATTCATAAGATATATATGGTTAAAACAGAGTCTGTCACTATTCCGATTATATAATGAACATGTGTTCAGGAATTAATTCAAACAGTGATCTTACCAGGTGTTCGCCAACAGCTGAACACCCGTCACAAACACATGTCAAGAGTAGCAAATGTACAGTGCGTTTGACTTCATTTGAGACCGATGAATGGCTCACTAACACAAAATCTAATAAAATGCAACAAAATCAAACTTTGCACAATCTCACGAAATCGACAGACCAACTCTGATGATTTGTCTCATAAGTTTGGACACCCGAATAAAAAAGTTGTTTAATAAACGATCATTAGTTTGTGGTCACCTTTCGCTATTTCTTACGAGGGAGGGCCACTTGCTGGTAGAACAGCCAGGTAATCAACAAGCGTGTGCAGTGAATTTCAATTTCACACGTGCAACTCACACACCTGGTGACGGTACCATATCCTGTACACGTCAATATAAGGAACTGCAGTAATATATAATATATTACTCGTGCGTTACATTTTGAAATGCTATTCACATCATTGTGGTCAAACGGAAGTAGTTCTCACAATAAGATTATATTAATGCGCGGTGAACCGGCCTTACAATCAGATGAGCGTCAATCCACAATTGATGCCGTCTGATTTTTCTGAACAACCAATCAGAATGTAGTATTTTCTTGATTCATGGTAGAATATATAATATACCACTCGTGCGTTACATTTGGAAATGCTATCCACATGTCTACCTTCAAATGTTGGAAAGCTTTAATACTGAGGCACCGAATGTAACTTTTGAAATTTTGCTCGATTGTATCTCAAAAGTTGAGTCATGTTGACAAAAAGATTGGAACTGATGTAATATTGCTCGGCATAAAGGATAATTCTGATCCGTATCATATAAAAAAGATTGTTTCCTTACCATTCTGACAGGTGTCCCCTATAAAACCATCCGCACAGGAACACTTGGTGGGAGAGCTGCTTGTGTCACAAGTACCTCCATTGAGGCATTCATCCCCGTCCTCAGAACATACACCCTCTAGAGAAGGAGGAAAAACGAATTGTGACCATGTTATATCGTTAAATAATGAGATAAGTTTCAAGATTGATTGATAGGTTGTGATATTGGTACAATATGAAGTTTGGTGAGTTTGATGTCTCACACGTTTGAATGGATCTGCTGACCGCTCTATTGCCTCATCACAATAATAGATGTACATTTGTAATGGTACAAATGGGTTTCTATTTCTGTCATACCTTTAAACTAGTACTACACCGACATGACACAAACTACTTTAAATTTGGTGCCAGAAAGGAAATCAGTCTTCATACAAATATATTTCATAACCTACATGGTTATATCATTCTCATCTACGTTCGACAATGTTTTAGTTTGAATTATAACAGTAACAAGCTGTCATATTATTTTTGTTTTCAGAGGGTGGCTCTGCATGCCTTCCCGTCGTATAGTCATATACAAGGAGCTTCATAATTTCATTTCATAGAGCATACAACTGACAACAATGTCAAAATATATACACTGTATACAATTTACCTATGCATGTCTTTCCAACTCCAGCGTATCCATGCTTGCATGTACAGGTGAAGGACCCTTCAGCGTTTGTGCAGTCGGCGTTGGTATCACAGTCATCAGCATCGGTTGCGCACTCATCAATGTCTACCAAGAATGCAAACGAAAATGAAAAAAGAATATATGGCTACTAATTAAGTTGATGTAATGGCGATGTGAAAATGCAATTTATTGTACTGTTTCTCAGTAAAGTGCAATGCAAAATTACACGTAACTGCTAGTATATATCTATGTCTACCAAGAAAGAAAACAAAAACAACAACAATATTTTATTGACGATACTGAAGAATAGAGAAGAGGTATTTATAATCCTATGCTTACCTGTTTCACAAAGGCCACCAGTATATCCAGCTGCACATTGACATGTACTAGCAGTGCTGTCTGATGGGATATTACATATTCCACTATTTAAACATTCGTTGCCACCAGTGGAACACACGCCAACTAAAATATGCAGTCATTTGATTATTGCACTTGCATCTTGATAGGAGTCAAAACATATATTTACTATAAAATACATTCAATTTCCACATTTGATAGCCGGGAGTTTGTGAACCCGTCTACATACAAATATATTATGTACTTAACCATGACAACTGTATATAAGACAGACGAACATGTCATGACCGGGACGAAAGTACTTCACGTACATACAATTTTTGTGTGACTTTAATTGAACACAGGAATTAGTAAATAGCGTTTTTTGAAAATAGAATGTTGAATGTAAAATCCGGACTTGAGTTTCAAACTTCTGCCTGAATATACAGAAGTTTTCTTGCACCGTTGTCAACGGTATAAGAATCTTTATCGAAACGTCGCACTCACGACACAACAGAACTTGTTATCCATACAGTTTGTCAATATTACACTAAAATGCCACTCATAGGAGTTATACGTCTTCGTGTATGCTCGTTTCATTGGTCAGTTATGTAAACTTACATACAGCTACCCAATTTGCTCTAACCCGAATCACCAATAACACTCTAAGATCGTAAGAATACTCAATATATATTTACGTGTGCAACTCTTTCCATTTCCAGCATAGTTAGGTTTGCACGTGCAGGTGAAGGAGCCTTCAGTGTTTTTGCAGTCGGCGTTTGTATGACAGTCATCGGTACCGGCATCGCACTCGTTTATGTCTGGCAAGAAATGAAAATAAACGAAGCTATCATAAGATAGATTTTGTAACCAATAATAGTGGGTATCATCACATCAGTGACAAGAGTAGGATTCCACTTCCAGCTCAGTATTTATCTTCAGTTCGGAGGTGTATTTTACGAGGCATATGAAACTCATATCAAATTGAAGCGAATGTAATTGTATAATCATTATAATGTGAAATAAACAGCTTATGTATCCTCAAAATAACAACTGTCAGAGAGGTAATAATTGTTTAATGACTTAATAACAGTTTCTTTACTAAAGTTAAACAGAAAAAACACTTCGAAGATTTTGATTGTTTTTAAAATGCGGAAAAACTCTTACGAAACCGTTGTATCAACGGCGCATATATCAGTATTGCATAACGAGACAATATGAATCTTGACCAGTCAACTCAGCAATTGACCCCATTAATAAAATTCTATGAACTTGGGACACGACTATACTGTACCATGCATAAACTATATCACAGAGTACTGCCACCATGTCCATGAGTGGCCACTTACGAAAAGCATAGATTGCGGAAGGTTAAAGTCCTCACGGATCGTTGCGTGATGTGAAGATGTTATTTGAACAGCATAATGGGATTGTTATATGGACTTAATGTTGTCGTAAGACCTTGTAGCTTGTCAACGTAGTAACCTAGACGGGGACAGCGAAATAAGATAGGTCACCGTGTGCATTTGCTGCACGAAGAAACTCTTCGTGTTTCCAAAGAACATAGTGTGGACGACGTAAGTCGTGTTCATGGCAGCCTTGTTTGTCGGCACCAGTGGTTTCACATTCATTGATATCTTTTGCAAAATGCATTATCACAAATGTATTATGATACATAGCAACCTCCTTCGCGTCTAATTCCATACACTTATTCAGGAACATGTATCACATTTTGAATAAATGGTGGTCAACATGCATGGCCCATTAAAAAAAAGAATAAACGCTTTTTTGGCTCACTCGCTTGTAATAATAACCATAGTCTACCTCATATTATTGATGACTTTGAATAACTATATTTTGATATACCGTTTTCGCAGCTGTCACCATTATATCCAGTACCGTCACAGACACATGTGGTTGAAACGCATGTTCCTGAATTCTTGCAATCATCATCACCCGAGCACGATCCATAGACGCCATCAAGAACTGCCCAGCATGTTAAAACTGAGGAAGGAGAACAGGTGTAACATTTCAAGTAATATTATTCTTCTGCTTGTATATTTCTGTGCAAGTGTTACATCATTTACACCATTGTTGCTAATTTGTTATGTAGGGGTTCGTTATGGTACATATTTCCAAAACTTACGTTTATACCGCCAGTTGTACCCTTAAATAACATAACTTAATGACACGTTGGTGTAATTGAACATCGCCTCTCTTCGTTGCCGTTACAAATTGAAAAACAGCTAACTTACCCAGTAAAGGTAAGAAAAGAGGAACCCTGAACAGCTGCATGTTCTTCGCCTTCTTTGTCTACCGTCTAATGTGTACTGGGCGTTTGTCCATTTATACCTTGATGTTGTCATAGTGACCAACGTCATGCGCGGAAACGGGTGAGGGTGGACAAAAAGTATTGAGATAAAATATATAGAGAGACTCCATATAAACGTGTTGCTGCTTGTTGGTTTCGTGATTCCGCGTTGTATTTGCAAATGCTGCTGCCATAAAGATATAATGGGTATTGTTAACCAAGTTTGATATTTATAATTCTAGTTCGCAGAAATAATACATTTGTACTTAAGTTGCTAGTCACACGACAAGCTTCACAATTATTTAGAACAGTCTAAGGAAGCAAATCTTTATGTTTGTAGTGTATCCCCTTCGTATATTCCACTGAAAACATGTCCGCTGTTCTATGGTACTTGATTGTAACCGTTTCTTGGGTGAATTGTGTATGGTATCATGTCAGTATACTTCTGCCTAAGATGTAGAAATCTCATACATATTCATACACATTATCAATCACATTTACCGCGCACATACCGCGCTAAGAATGACAATCCCCCAAAAAAAAAAAAAATAAAAAAATATAAATATAAAAAATTTTTTAAAAAAAATATAAAATAAAATAAATAATAAATAAATATATAAATATGCCTCCCAATCATATCTGACTGATTAGTGCCTGACTGACTCAGTAAAAAGATAACATCATAAAATTCTTACAAAATGTTCGTATTACCACATTTCGAGGACATATTCTTATAAAAAAGCTGTATTCATACAAAGGGCTCACAGTGTTGACTAGGGATTTAAGTTAACAATTCAGCAAGGATACTGACTTCACGAACGTTTTGCTACTAGTGTTTAAGCCATACTTGATTGTTCTGTCTCTACCCTTAAATGGATGAAGACCTCTCTCTCTATAGTGCATTTAATTATCTTAACATAACTCAGAGAGTCTGCCTTTATTGTGACAATACAGTGCAGTTTGATAGTAAATATTTCATGCAATATACATACTGCACGTCTACTGCGTGCTATGATTACGACTTTGACATCGCATACGTGACATAAAACATCTGCTGGCGAAGACACATCTTACGAAATCAAGTGTCAATCCAGGTAGGCATTGCGGTGCACTTCAAATGAACTATTCCTGAAAGCCTCAGTGCATCGATTCAAAATTTATATCGCGGAACAAAGGTTGCGGGCCTTAGCTTGATGATACCTTGGGATTATCCATGCAGGTGGTAATCAACAAATAGTAATAAAACATTCCAGTCCGACACCTCTAATCGCTCAACACTCCTCAAAACTGTAGTAATCTGTCAAGCGTTGTTGCCTGTAAGTTATGGCCTTACTGTAAACACTCTTGTTTCCGCTAAAAGTCAGATGTTGAAAAATAACACTCGGTATCAACAGTTTTACATTGCATAAACAATGGCTATTATTCATACATACAGCTACCATGCAAGGACACTATGTTTACTGATATGATATATTGTAACACATCCTCACAAGCGTTATATAATCCACATAAAGAGAACTTCTTGTATTTAGCACAAGCAAAAACCATCAAGCTTACCCTGAAGGAACCAATACTGCCCAAAGACCTTCATCCTTGCAAGGGTTTATAGCTCAGTCCCAATGCGATGAACTATGGGCTTGAATCACACTGAAGTCGTATATATACACATGAAGTGAGTCATAGCCACATGGGGAGGTCGTCACGTGGTACTATCACGTGACCACAAGCTCACAACTGATGATTGGTTTATACATCATCCATGTAAATGCGGTAGTATCAAGACGGTGAAGAAATATTCTAATATATTACATCTACTTATAGTAATGTGAACTCCATATCTAACTAACTTTACATTTACAACCATGATCAAGATATTAATCCTTCCAGTCTAGATGCACTTTGTTATCCAATTAACCATACTATGTATTCCAAAACAAAAGCGTATACTCAGATATTGTTCCAAGGTGATACAAAGGATCTCTTAAATTGACACGAGTGGTATAGCCCCTGAGCTGTTATTTTGGAAACATGTTGTCTTTTCAATAGGTATCAAGGACCTGGTATCATTAAAAGATGAAATAACCAAGTTTTGACAAGATACATTTTGGCAGAGATTCCTATAGTGGTTGTGAAGGGTATTGGGGCTCCTATTTAACTGCAAGTAATCCCTCTATAACCGACATGGCCTGACGTATATATAAAACTTAATTGTAAATGAAATGTGCAGTGGTTTCAGATGCTATATGGTTAGGGTGGATACAGGTTCACATATCAGGGTCAAATATGACGTAATGGTATTATTGTATGATTAGATAATATCATTATGAAATATTTCTATTGCTTGTATTTGTTTGCTGACAGGAACACATTTCTAAATGATGTCATGGACGATTCGACATAATCCCACCGTTTCCTATCCTCCATACATGTAAATATACCATTAGTTACCTGGAGAGTATACATTGATAACATATCCATAAAAGTTGTGATATATACTTTTGCCCATAATTATATTTGCAATAAAAGTATGAAGGGATAACATCCACTATCAACTTTATCCGTGTCTGCTCCAGCACACTTCCTTGCCAATTTCTTGCAGAACTTATCAGCAATAGATAACATTAATGAACTGCATGTTACAGCTGTCATGATTAAATGAGGCGTGAAGATGTCATTTGTGAGTTGAGTCAAGTCAAGTCAAATTTTATTCTCATGAGTCATATACATGACATGAGTAAACAAATATACATAAAAAACAATGAAACACATATATATATTATATTAAAGTTGAAGAAGTCTTGCCATACATACCTGTGGTTCGCTGCCATTATACAAACATTCTCGATCTTGAGATCTGCTTCATGTTTATCAAGCACATACTCTCGCTTATAGCTGCTCTGAAGAATTGGTACACGCTGTATCAATTAACAGCTGGGAAGCAGCCGAATCATCTTGGGGTTGTGTTTTTTTTAAAAATTATGTAAGGATCATTTCAATAATTGTTAACCTGATATTTATTGAGGTAAGTTCTTTTTCAGCGGAAATGGTTGTCATTATATATACATGTATAACAAGTGTAGAAGTGAGCACAGATCACATACCCCCGCTTCCCACTTTGGGACATGGAAATGACTGATTTTGATATATATAATGTGACAAGGTTCAGCAGCTCACAAGACTTTCTCCTTGACTCTACTAAACTTTATATACATGTTAGATACTAGTTTTGCCATGTTCTGATTACAGTAATAATTTATGGAAACATTATTTGTTTGTGTTTTCTGTGGAAACCTGACATACAATTGAACTTGTTGCACACAATGAAGTGGACGTAGATGAAGATTGTCTTTTTTTAGCACATGGCATATATATGGGTCATGATTGACTTGTGTATTAAGTTTGGTGAACCGAGCATGTATAGTTTCGATGATATGCTGTGGCCAGGTAACCATCAAACACATGGAAACAACAACAAAAAATAGCAAAAGGCACATCAATGGCTAATGATTACCATGTGTGTGAAGTTTGGTGAACCTAGCTTGTAAACTTTAAGAGATATGCTCCGGACAAAGTTTCGGGACGGACGGAAGGACGGACGGACGGACACACGGAATGAACGCTATATACCCCCGTTACTTCGTAGCGGGGGTATAATAAAGTCTAATATTTCAAAATATTGCCAGAGGTGACTAACGGGATCGGGTGGTCAGGTACGCTGACTTGGTTGACACATGTCATCGTATATCAGTTGCGTAGATCGATGCTCCTTGTTGATCACTGCATTGTATGGTCCACACAGACGGCCGCCATATACGAGCTGGAATATTGCTGAGTGCGGCGTAAAACTAAACTAAAACACTCATTCACCACTCACTCACTAAAAATGATTGTGTCAAATATGTCTCCAATGCAGTGTTTACTATACTGTGAGTGAGTGAGTTGAGTTTTACGCCGCAGTGATATTCCAGCTATATGGCGGAGGTCTGTAAATAATCGGATCTGGACAATCCAGTGATCAACAGCATGAACATCGATCTGCGGCATTGGGAAGCGATGTCATGTGTCAACCCAGTCAGCGAGCCTGACCACCCGATCCCGTTAGTCGCCTCTTACGACAAGCATGGGTTACTGAAGGTTCATTCTAACCCGGACGTTCACGGGACGTTTACAATACAGCTGATCATTCTTGGGTAATGATATTTTGTAAGTTAGTTGGTTTTAATGTGAGTAGCAGTAGGCTGACTTAATTACATCCACAAGAAGGGCATACTTATTGATAAATCAAGGTGAATACACAATGCCATTTAAAACTAGTTGAAATGTAGCATTTGCTATACAGGTTTTTGCTATAAAACTTTCTCAGAAAAATCAAATCCGCGACTTGAAAATTAGGCCCCTAATCGCTAGTACACTAAGTCAGCGATCAAACCCACTCAGCCGCAGCTTCTTTCAAAACCCCTATTTCAGCCGCAGCTTCTTTCAAAACCCCTATTCCACAGAGGACATGTTTATCTCCTCCTAATAGAATGTGTAAGACCGGAAACAAGTACCTGGGCTCCATGTGAACTGGTGTCAATGAACTTTTATTAAGAATATCAACACAATGTTTGAGGATTAGTCTGATCAATGTTTCCTCAAAACAGATTCATTGACAGAAACCTTACCTGGTAAAAGGAGTCAATGTATTCGTTGTATTTATTCCAATTTACGATACACCATAACGACGACTCATCTGAAATGCTGGACTTTATCATTGATAACATCTGTGCATCGTTGTTTGAGAATATTATATGTTGAAAAAATCTCAATAATATCGGTCTCGTGCTTCGATGACATTTGCTTTATTTATCACCCCTGTGACGGTAAAATGAAAGGGTTTATTGGAACCCGCAACCCTATGGAAAGTACAAAGCATTGTAATTATTCATCAAATATCAGAAATGATACCAGTGGCAGTCCATTTCCCCTTGAAAAACGACTGCACAGAATAACACAATGTTCATTGAATACGAGTTTGGTCAAAGCAGCGTTTCCAG